AAGACAAGAACACAAGGTATCTTTCCATCGGGTGAGCAATCTACTGGTTCGAGAGGGCGTTCCAAAAGGCTTTTCAAACAAAGTCCTATGCACTAACCCTCAAAAGTTTCCCATCATAACGACTACTCGTAAGACGGTACTCCTTTCAAAAAGGATGAACACAGCGTCATGTTTTAGTAACCTTTGGAATAAGGTTCTACAAAGGTCCTCAGAATCGCGGACTCCCAAGTTGAAGATAAGAACGTCATTACGACTACACGTAAGACATAATTATTCCAACGGAGTCTCATCTGAGCGGTGGAATTCGATCCAACTCAACGAGTCCTAAGTCTCGCAAATCAGAAAGAAACCACCTCCTAACTTAGTGCATACTCGAAAGCTCGGGTAGAAAGCTTTATCCTCACAAACCAAACCAAATGAACCCAAGAAGTTAGAAAGAAACATAACCATAAAATAAATAGCAAAACAAATAAAGCACAAATGCGACAAACAAAATAGGCGTGGCTTGCTAGGTATCCCCAGCAGAGTCGCCAGCTGTCGCTACTCGAAAAAATGCATCGCGCAACGACGGGGAGGCGAAAAGAAAATGACAGAAGAGTCGCCACCGAACTTTATTTATCCCGTGAGGGAAAAGGAAAATATCGAGAAAACCTTAAGAAAGAAAATGGATAAGATGGTCTCGCGACCAAGAACGGGTTCGGAAGCCGGTTATGCAAGGGGAAGGTATTAGCACCCCTCGCATCCATCGTACTCGATGGGAACCTTTTGTTTGTCGTATGTGTGAATTATCTGCTTAAATATTATGCTATAAAAGAGTGTTTCAAAGGGGTAAAGGGAAAGGTTTAGAAACGAGGAAAAAGGGAGGTGACGAGGGAAAGAAAGGAGATAAAATAGACTCGGTAGGACTTCGCAGTCCTATGCCTACGTATTCTCAATAGATGTGAGAAAGTCAGAGTCGACGTAGTTCGGGAAACTACAGATATGGGGGGAAAGTGCTCGACAAGGATTGTGGCCCTTGTGCCTACGTATCTTTACTTGAGAAAGTAAAGAATCAGAGCAGCCGTAGTTCGGCCTACGGTGTGTTGATGTTTTTTATGGATGATGCTATCGTGCGCATTCTAGCAGTTAGGTGTTTTGCTGCTCGCTCGTTGGAGACTTAGGCGTTACCTGTTTGCGGTAGAACGGACGTAGCATATCCTTTTTGAAAGATTGATTAGTTTTCGCCACGCGGGGCTAGAAGTCGCATTTGATTGATTTGATTGTTTTTTAGGGGCGAGACATGTCCTCGGATAGTAACCCCTACGGGTAGTACCCAATTCTTTATCTCAAAGTTTTTGTTATGAAAATTGTGTGGTGAACGAGGCATCTTTGTATTGAAAGACGAGCGTCGAAACCACCCTCACTACAGTGGGCATCCCAACACTCGAAGAGGAAAAGGTCTACACCTAATCCTCTCTCTTTGATTCAACATAAAGAGAGTTTCGTTCTCTTATTAAAGGTATTTTTGGTTTTGAATGGTAAGTGTTTTGCGACAGAGAACCCTACGGTAAACGTCAACACTCGGGATAGGAGAAGGCCTACGCCTAACCACTCCACGACCATTCAAGTTTTTGTTATGAAAAGATTTGAAAATGCACTTGGTACAGGACCAAGGTTTTAGGTGTGAAAATTGTGGAAGGAGGTTGTGAAAGGAGAGGTGGTGGAAGAAGTCGCGTCTTCGTATTGAAAGACGAATATCGAGACCACCCTCACTACAGTGGGCATCCCAACATTCGGAGAGGAAGAGGTCTACACCTAATCCTCTCTTTTTAATTCAATACAAAGAGAAATTGATTTATTATGGAAAGCATACTCAGTACGAGACCGAGGTTTTATGAGGAAACGTCAGAAGCGTCTTTGTGTTGACAGATGAGCATCGAGACCACCCTCACTACAGTGGGCATCCTTACGCTCGAAGAAGAAGAGGTCTACACCCAATCCTCTTTTTAACTCAACACAAAGAAATGATTTTGAAGATGGCTTGTCAATGCTTTTGAATCGAGTTGGGACAAGTAATGAAGAAAGAAAAGAGGTGGTCTCAGATCCAACATTACTTATCAATAATTTGACTGGTAATGAATTACGGAGGTCTCGTCATCGACCAAAAGGAAAATGGAACAAATAATCTAATAAAAAATGAGAAATTAAATTAACTCTACAATAAAATAAACATCAAAACTTAAACATAAAATATTTCTAAGAAATTAAGTGGAATATAATATAGAAAACATATATATAAGCTATTTTAAAAAAGTTAAAAAGATTATATAAGAAAAGCTAACATAAAATATACATAGTTTTATAAAATATAAAATATGTGACATATATACAAACGCTGAAGAAAATAAAATATAAAATTTCACTAAAACTGGTTTAACTTTTATGTTTACAAAAAAAACTAAATATTTACAGTAAGATACATGACAATCTAAATATCTAAACCTAAATCTAATTTAATCAATGTTTAACAAAAGTAAACAGAGCCCATTCATCACCACACACGGTCAGCAGGCGTGGAAAATGAAACACGGGCCAAAGGAAACCCAACTACACGGTCCAAGGCGTGGAAAACAAAAGCAGTCTCTCACCAAAGAAAGAAAGAAAAAAAAAATGCGGTTCATATGCATTCAATCCATGGAAGATCCAAAACACACTCTGGAAATACCATCCGTTCAAAGCAAAAGTTACGGTTAACAGTGGCTGAGATATTCTCTCTGAAAGCTTGGATTCTCACTTCCTCCGGTCCGGTTTCGACGCGGTGTTGATGTTTGGATTTTCGGCTTTAATGGCGAATTCGTTTTCAGTTCATTCTAATCAAGTTTGATTCTGATTTATGCTTAAATTCACTCTTTTTTGATTCGTTTCACTTTTTCTCCTTCTCAGATTTCTGTTGTGTTATTGAGTTTTCGGAAGGATGAAGTTTAGAAAGAGATCCGAAAATGGTGAGTTGGGTAGTTTGATGGAGGATGTTATTGTGTTGCTGCGAGGGAGTGTTTATGGTTTGATGAAGATCTGGTTTCTGAAGTTTGTTTTGAAGCTAATGAGTTTGTTGTTTGGATCTGAAGAAGGTGTTTCAATGGAAGTAGGTTGAAGGAGTTTGAGTTTTGTGGTAGCGTTTTGGGTTGTTGTTCATGGGAGATTCGTGAGGGTTGTTATACTCAATGCCAGGAAACAAGACAAACCAAACAAAACAGATCAAGATTATGAAGACAGTAGGAGTAACAGAATACTTACAGAATAATACCACCAGATTGTTGATGCAGAACACAGGTGAGCTTCTTCCTCAATCTCCCTTTTTTCAGTTCTTTTTGAGTGAAAGCAGCTAGGGTATCTTTGTGGTCTCTTCCTTTAAGCTTTTATAGTGAGGTTAATTAGGTTTAGCAGACCAACTCTTGAGGCTTTGAAACCCTCTGCACCTTAGGCTTTAGGTTTGGTCTGCTACTAACCTGTCTTATTGCCATTTTTGTGCTAAGACTGTGGTACTGCAATTGCCTACAATTGCTCTGTATTTGCCATTTTTGTGAATGTGCTTCTGCTGTCTCATTTTTTCATGTCCCTGAATTTATTTATTTAAATTGAAAATATCTGATATATTTTAACCTGCATTTTCACTGTGGTATCACAACAATTTTACTGATACATTTAATTTCTTTGCAGGTTTATCATCTTTAGCCAAAGAGCCAAATTTCATAGCTTCCTCAAAAGTCCAGTTTCAATTTGCATCTACGCGGATAATAATCTGGCAACCAACTTTCTTTCTCACTTATTGTATTAATGTGGCATCTTGCACTGTTCAATTGCTTGGTTTGCCCCACAATCCAGCAGCTCTGGAGGTCGGTCTGCTGTAAGTAAAATAAGCGGCACAAAAATCTTGACTTGATTCTACAACAGCTGGAAAAAGGTTTGAAACTGCAGTGTCTGATGATTGAAATGATAGACGAGCTTCATAAGATCCATGACCCGGCTCCTTCCATGGATCAACTGGATGTGATTTTTTCTCCAGTGATTCATATAACCGCAATACATTCAGTTCAGAGTAGCAGTCTTCATTTGATCAGGCTCACCTGCTTCCAATAGGATTCTGTAGCATGGAGGGGCCTCCGCCAAATTTTCTTTGGTACATTTTCCTCACAATTAGGTGTTTATCCAGAGCCATCAATTCCAGAAGTGTTCTACAGCTCTGTGGATTCAGCACGTGCATCTGACGTAGAATATCCCCCTCCAATATCCCTGGGTTCTGCATCACTATTCCAAGAACACGACGTTCAAGTCCCTTGAAAACAATGCTATTGATGGTCCCATCTCCATTGACCCATGGCAATATTGGCATACATAATTCATCCGAAGAAAACTTTATTATTTCTTTCTCATGATCATGTCTCGACTGGCCAAATCTGATTTGCATGCAACCTTCATTCTTGTCAAAGGCTTGATTTTCATGGTCCACATCCTCATGTGGAGGATTAAGAATTGTGACTTTGTGCACGTTATCAAGGCCAGTGTTTCTTTTCCTCAGAACATCAGCAGCAAAAGGATAAAGATTTGTCATCTTCGAAGGTAATGTTTGATTAACTTGCATGCTTTCAACGTTATTGCCAAGAGAAGTAGTTCCCTCCAAGATGGAAGAAAAAAATTTCAGGTTGGTTCCATATTCTCTGCTGCTTACATGAGTTTTCCCAAATCTCCAAGGCTCTAACAGATGGGCATTTGTAAGTACGAGACCTTGACTGTTTAACAAAACGCCAGATGCCCATACTCCATCACCAATAGTAACGAGACATACAGAGGCCATTGCTTTCTCGATTGGTAATGGTGAGGAGCTACCAAAATTTAAATGCTCGTGTTTATTACTAGAGGGTACACGAGTTTCTGATTTCTCGTAGTCAATAAAAGGTATCTTTCTTCCCTCTTGATAATGTAATCCTTCTATTGTGTTTTGAGGACATGTCCGCAGCAAGCCACTAGAAGCCTTCACAATGGTTTCCCATGGAATCACCAGCTGTTACCAAAGACTGTACTTCCGTTCCACTTGTCTTCTGTCTCAATGGTCTGATCAGGACACCTGTAAGACATGCGTGCTCGCTGAAAACTGGACTGCCTTCCATTCCAGGAAGACAGCGAATGTCAGCCATCAGCAACGATCCATCAGATGAATTAGGCGGATAACAATTTGCAATGCATCCAACTGATAAACTGTTAAAGAAGTGTGTAGATGAGAGGACTCCAAAGGGAGACCCAACTGCCAAAAGGAAATCACCCCTTTTATTCATGGAAGGTTTTTGATAGTTCAGTGAGTCCTTGAGAGATAAAGAAACACTAAGAATGGCCATTCTAGTCAGTGATTTGCACATAACACTTGCACTGCCCGATCCTCCCTCCGATATCTTCCCCTGAGTTTGAAAATTATCTTTAGAGGGATGAGATTCGTTATTCAGAGATGCCAAAGACCAACCAACCTCCCATTCATGCTCTGACAAGCTTAGAGATGCTTCAACAAGTGACTGGACACAAAGGGCTGAAGCAGGGATATCAACTAATGACAATAGCTGCCCCTCAAGCCAACTCGGAGTTCCTTGATCAGATTCTTCATTGGTTTTCTCTGTCATAATATCAATCCGAACACCAGAAATCAAATCAGGCCTACCCTGAGGAATATTCTCCCTATGTTGAGGAGATAGAAAGGGCTCAACAACCGAAGCAACCGTCACAACCAACACCCTATCCTCAAACTTATCACCATATAAACGCTTAGCTACTTGAGTATCACAAAGGGAATCAGGTACAAGCAACCCAGAAGCAGAAAGAGTTGTCTCGCCAGAACGGTAATGATGAAAAGCGTGTTTTCTCATCTTCATTCCTTTTGGGTCAGGATCGCGAATTCTGATCATAACTGCGAAATTTCGAGCGGAATCGAAGATTTGTGAGTGACCCATTTTGTGATTCTGTATGAATGGATCTTAGGAGAAGATAATGATATGTATTTGAATGGAAATTATGAATGGGATTTGAGATTTGAAAATGAAATAGGTTATGAATTGAACCTGAGTCGAACGTGAAATGGGATTAAAATGGAAAGAAATTGAAAGAAAATTTGGGTTTGAGCGAAGTTGAAAAGGAAATTAAAATTTGAACAACTGAATGGAATTTGAAATTGGATAAAAACTGGAAGATGAAATCTTGACATTAAATTGAAAGTTGGATTGAATTTAAAAAAGGGATGAACTTGAATTGGATCAAAACGAAACTGGAAACGGATTGGATTAAATCTTGAGTGGACTTTGAATCTTGCATTTGGAAAGGCATGAAATTTGAAACCTTGAATTGACTATGCGAAATTAACACCAGATTCTGATTCCATCTTGAAATAGTCCGAAATGGAAAAGAAAGTTTAAATTCTCCTATGACACATAGTTAGGACTTGTGAATGACTTGAAAAGGTTGACCAAATGTTTTGACTTCTGATGGCTCTGCAACTTGACTTCAATGAAATAAATCTCCCTTCTTGACAAAGACTAATAATCCGATCCACACACAAATGACCTAAAATGGCACATAAACTCTAGCCGGATCGCCATGTACACACCACTTAAATCCATGCTTCCTGAAAATAATCCCTTGTTATTAAATCAAAGCCCTGGATCTCCATACGTATTATACCTTAACCTTGACCAACTAAAACTCAAATGGAGTCTGACTCGCTTTTCTTCAACCTCATGATAGAAGTAACATATATTTTTTTGATTTTTCTGCCCCTGACAATCATATATGCTTATCTGTTTGTCTTCAAGGACCTTGACTTGTCTCTGATAAGGGTAACCACTTGGTGACTTGAATATAGCCTCCTTGATCAGGTTAAAAACCATTGGTAATTTTTTGTTAGACACACATTTCTTGATCCCCTGTGAAATGCAAAATGCTATGCAATGCAATGCTTATGTATATGCGGATGCAATGAAATAAAACATAAGCCAGAGAGGTCGGTCAAATTTCTGGGTACAACAAGGCCCTATTCATATCTTCTACACTATTTCAATCAAGTTCGGCCGTGACAAGCGGTATGGAAAGGCTCGATACCGATATTCACCGTTTTCATGAAAAAGAATAAATTGTGGTTAATTGACACCACGACGACCGCAATCAGTGTCGCAACACATGTACGACGAAATCGCGAAAGCTTTTAAGTGAGGTTATTTAAAACCTTTTCAAACTAACATTGAATTGAGTGAATCAAATTGCAAAAACTACCTCTGAAGAGTTTGCAGAGCTAGACAACTCAGACTCCATAGAAGAAAGCCTGCAAGTGAGGTTCCTCTTCTGCATATGCAGCTCCTTAGTCAACCTTCTCAACTCAACAACTTCAAGCTCAAGATTCTGCATCGAACTATCCTCATTTCCCCCTTTCGTCACTTCCTCTTGTCTCTCCAATCCACAACTCCTACTCAATACAGCCAATTGCTCAAAAAGACTAGCTTTCTCTTCTTCCAACAAAGCAACTTTCTTCACAAGCTCGTCAACCTCATTCCGGTTCTTCCTACACTCATCCAACTCAACATTCAACTCTCTCTCTCTCTCTCTCTCTCTCTCTCTCTCTCTCTCCTTAGACTCTTGCAACAAGTTTCTCATATGATCCAACTCCGTGAACAAATCAGTTGATGATTGTCTCCTATGTGTGTCGTGATGGAGTTAGATGGGCAAAGGGAGACCACATTGGTTAGTGTAGGAGGCATGATGTGGAGGGGTGGCAAGAGTTTTGGGTGCAACCATGAAGGAGTGGTGGCAATCTCTCTGGTGTGCAACTAGCAAACACCAAACTTTGTGGAAGCAAGCCTACACAATGTGAGTCCATGATATCTGATTACCTTGAAAAATTTCATTTCATTGTAGCAAGAGTTGTTAGACTGCAAAAAAATATATCCACTAAAACAGAATACAGTAGAGGAATCAAGAAGCAAATTACTCTAATGTTATATGATGGTACAAAAAGTGATGCTACAATGTAAGCAACCTTACAAATGAAAGAAAACACTTCATCAATTTTGAAAAGATTTCCCAGCTATCAAGTGAATATAGTAAACACATAAACTTAGGCACAATCCTAGCATGACAACAATGAGGAAGAGGAATCAATATTCAAATTCCTCTTATGTTCTTTGATAGTACAAAAAGTGATGCCACAATGTAAGCAATCTTTCAAGTGAAAATTCCTGATCAAAATTGAAAAAAAAAATGTAACAGCTATCAAGTGAATATAATGAAGGCCTAAATTTAAGCTTGACCCTCATGTTTCCTTTTCATTTTCTTCTTAGACTGTTCCTCGGATCTATCTTCCACATCTTCATTCTTCCTCTTCTTCTTCCGTTGCTCTGTCTTTATCTCTTCAGCATGTAATTTGTTCTCACTCCCTGCTTCATGTCTCTTTTTGGACCTAATTTCTATATCCTGTGGAACAACCAGCCCTCCATTTTCAACCTTCACATTGTTGCTCATCTTTTTCTCTATATCATTCTGTTGTTTTTGTTCCTCTGCATTCTCACCGTCTAGATTCTTCTTCTCCTCCTTCTTCTTCTTCTCCTTTTTTTGCTTCTTTCCCTTCTCTGTTCCTCCCTCACCACCCTTACTTAATTCAACTTCATTTTTCACCATAGCAGCTACTTCTCCATTGTTACTTATCTTTGTGTCTATCTCTTTCTGTTGTTCTCGTCCCTTCGCACTCTCACGTTCTAAATTCTTGTCCTTCTTCTTCTTGTCCTTTTTCTGTTTCTTTCCGTCCTCCATTTCTTCATCGCCTTGACCTGATTCATTTCATTTTGCCCATTTTTCGGTAGTTTTCCATCAACTTTCTTATTTCCAAATTCATTCTTCTTCTTTTTATCTTTCTTACTACGCTTCTCACTTCCATCTACAACAGAACCATTAATTTCTCGACCCAATTTAAACATCATTCTCAATCAACTTTTCATCAACATTCTCACCACAAACTTTTTCCCTTATAATCCCGATTTCAGATTTCACATCAGCACTTGTAACAGAACTTACACCTACTCTCCCACTATCATCTGTCACGTGGCTTCGGATTTTCTTCCTACGAGACTGCGAGGGTTTAAGCTCCCTATGAAGCTGGTTGAGCTCATTGAAAGCATCTGAAGCTCGACGGAGATAGACATTGATAACTTGCGAAGCACCGTTGTCAGCAGAGACAAATTTTGAGAGAATTTTGGTAGCTTTGGAAAGTGATATCTCTTTGGATGATTCACATCGTCCAGAAAGAGTCTTCATCTTCTTCTTCTTCTCTCACCTTCACATACATATGTAGCTAGACTAAATCAATAAACAGTTAAAAACTAAACTATTTTGTCAATCACTGCAAAAATCAGAAAGTATAGTTTTTTTTCTGAAACGCGATACTCAGGTTTGTTACGGTTTAATGTAGCAGCTACCGCGGCCGCAAATCGATTAATCGCAGAAGCTAAAAGAATGGGGAAGGAAGATATGAAGAAGAAAAGGAATACCTAGAAGGATTTGTCACTGTTTCTTCTGAAGGTGGAGTTGCTCCTGCGCCGACCAAGTCCGCCGGTGTTTTCCGGCTTGTTATGTTCAGTGCGCTGCAATTTGTTTCCGATGCAACGAGGGTTTTGATTCGATGTGTTGTTGTTTTAGGGTTTTAGGGTTTTTTTAGTTGAAATGTTTTTATTTGTTGTATTGAGGGGTATAGACTTTTAATTCCGTACTTTTATTATAAAATCTAAAGAAAGTAGAGATGAGATAAAATGTGAGATATGAATTTTATTTTATTTATTATATTTGTAATCTTAAATAATAGAATTTTATTTCAATTTATTGTATACCTTAATTCAAACACATTTTTAAATTTGGATCCTCTCTTTTTTTATATATTTTGCAATCTCTCATGTTTCTAATGTAATGGTTTAAAATTTATAATAAATAATTAAATAAAAATGTTGAAGAAATTCCAAAAATAACAAAGACAAATTATTTATTCATTTCTGTCTCCTATTAAATGAATTTTTTATTTAATTATTTATTATAAATTCTGAACCGTTTTATTTAATAATATATATATATATATATATATATATATATATATATATATATATATATATATATATATATATATATATATATATATATATATATATATATATATATATATGTACAAATAAACATTGTTCTCTCTCTCTCTCTCTCTCTCTCTCTCTCTCTCTCTCTCTCTCTCTCTCTCTCTCTCTCTCTCTCTCTCTCTCTCTCTCTCTCTCTCTCTCTCTCTCTCTCTCTCTCTCTCTCTCTCTCTCTCTCTCCTCTCTCTCTCTCTCTCCTCTCTCTCTCTCTCTCTCTCTCTCTCTCTCTCTCTCTCTCTCTCTCTCTCTCTCTCTCTCTCTCTCTCACATATCAATAATATATATATATATATATATATACACACATACATATATATATGTACACATTATATATATATATATATATATATATATATATATATATATATATATATATATATATATATATATATATATATATATATATATATATATATATATATATATATATATATATATATATGTGTGTGTGTATATTGCAAAAATAATAGTTAAATGGTATTACAGTATTACTGTATTTTTAAATTAACAACATGTTTGGAACCCTTTTAGATTGACTGGTTCTTGTACAATTCAACCTGATGATATGCTGCCACTTCTGACAAATAACAAGAACCAATGGTTTAAAAACATTTATCCACCAATAGTAGCTTCTATCTGTTGAGCAATAACCAATAACTAAAACTAGGAGATAAACTGAAAATAAATATTTACCAAAAAAAAATAATCTTTTGCTTCAATGATACCCATTCTTCAAAGTTTTAGAGAAAAATTATATAAGGGGGCACCAAAATCTCCTTTAAAGATTAGGAAGGAGCTTTATTACAAAAAAAAATTCATATTTTATTAAATTATTTATTTAAATTTTAATATATATATTATATTATATAATAATATAGAATTAATTATTAATTTTATATAATAATAATTAAATTATATTAAATGTTTATATTAATTTTTACGACTTGGTCAAAATAAATGTTTGTTTGTATTAAATAAATATAATAAACACGTAGAAAGATAATTGACAATGAATCAAAATTGGTGTATGATTTTCTAGGATGCAGTACGGATGCATGTTGTGTGATAGAAAATAAATATTAATAATATGATTTAATATTCTTTTTAGTATGTGTTTTAATCATTTTGATTTTTAAATTTATAAAAAATTTATATTAATCTCTTAACTTAAAAAAAATATTATGTTTTTTTTTTCTTTTTAATTAACGATTAAAAAATTCAGAAATTCTTCATTAAATTCATCATTTATTGGATAAAAATGACTAAATAATACATATTAAAAAATTAAAAAATTAATATAAACATTTTTTAATTAAAAAACCAAAATAAATTCAAAATTAACATACGACAATAAAAATGATATTAAATTTAATAATATACATTGTAAATATATAGTATAATGACTTTAATAATTTATATAAGATATTTGTGGCTAAAATGAAAAGTTATATTTATTGCCCATATTAAAATATTTTAATGCAGTAATCGACGTAGAGGTTATTATAACAAAACAAAACAGGATTTTTGGGTTTATAGGTTTGTGAGTATCTTTTAGAGTAATTAATACTTCTACCCATGTGATGCACGGGACAAATTGTAAATAAATATTATACTTTTTATAATAAATATAAGAATATGTGAAAAGAAAAAATTATATTTCAATGATATTATATGAACATATTAAAAATATTTAAAAATGTGATTAAGATATGAAACATAAATTGTTTTTATGTGACTTTCTCTACAATTGAACAAAGAAATATAAAATAAATTCATCTTTGAGTCTTAAAAGAAAAAATAAATAAATATGAAAGAGAACGTAAAACTTCTTATAACATTGATAATTACTTATAACATTGATAATTACTTATAACTCAATACATGATATAATGGTTGAATGTAAATTAAAATATATATTTGAACAAACTTACACAATATGTAACGTTAACAAAATCTATCGAAATGGTAATTAGCATTATCCACACGAGTTAACAAAACAGGAAAGATGATATAAATTAATAAAATTCATATATTTATTTATATATTGAAATATATAAATATTGGAACGAAAATTTTCTAACTATCATACTATCATTCGATAACAAAATCAACCAATGGACTAAACCTGTGGGAAAAAAATTGACTGCATAAAATAATCTGTTAAATGAAAAATAAAATAAAATTTGATAGATTTAGCATAGAATAGAACGTACGTTGTTCATATTTTGGAAGACCTTCTTATAAACAACGTTTGAAGTCTTATTAGTGGCATTATCATCGTCATCGTTGATAAGAAGTTTTAAACGAACTCGTAAAATAACTCTAGAAAATGCAACATATAGCTGAGCGTGGGTAAAAACAGGTTATGGAAGGTAGATTCCAACATGTTTAAGAGATTGACTTTGACTCTTTTTTATTGTCATTGCAAAAGAAATAGATATATGAAATTGTCTGCGATGGAATTTGAATGGAACTCTCATGTTAGGAAGAGTCAATAACAACCTCGGAATAAAAACTTTTTGGCCAATATTATTTTCTGAAATAACCTCTGCCTCAAGTACAAAATGTCTCAATTGATGATTGATCAATACTTCTTAGTAGCATAACAGATACACCAGCCTTTAATTTCAATTCATTATTTGTTACGTCTAAAGCTTTGATGGTATTCAGTAATTCATAAGTAAGAATATTATATGGACCATTAAGAGTTTCACTTTGTTCACATGGTGTATCAAAACTCAAATATGTTTTAACTTCACCAGGAATCAAAGATAACATGTAATCATTTATGAGTTCAACAACTTCATTCTTTGGTGTTAAAATAGCCATATCTTAAAAATATGATGGATCATGAAAATTCTCAGAGAAAGATGGATAAGTATCAACAACTATAGAATTAATGGGGCCTCTTGAATTTTTTATGATTGTATCATCTGGAATTTTAATGTTTAAGTCTTCGTCATTATCCTTACCAATTTTTCCTTCTCTAATACTCAACAATCAATCTGAGAATTGCTTCATTTGTTTTACATCAGATATCGACGATCCGGTTTGAAGCCTTATGTTCTTGATTAATGTCATTACTTGACAAAAATCTCATAGATAAGATGAATTAAAGTTGACATGTACAATATCTTTTCTTGTTTCCTTCGGTATAACAGAGAGGATTTGTCTAAAATCCACACCCCAAAACCACTACTTTACCTCCAAAGGAAATATTTTTACTATTAGGATTTGAGAATTTAAGAATATCTCTAAAAAAATTGTCAACAACTTGAAAGCAATATTTGTGCATCATTGGAGCTCATCGCATATAATAAGTTTAGCTTTTATTATCAATTGAGTTAAAGGACTTTTTGGTGCAATGTTGCAAGTAGAAAATTCATCAATATTTAATGGAATAGCAAACCTTGAGTGTGGCGTTTGACCACCAGATATTAGAAGCGTTGATATTCCACTTAAAGGAACCGTGAGCATGATTTCACCTTTTGATCTTATAATTGCAGATATAACTTTCCAAATGTAAGTTTTTCATGTTCCTCCATATCCATAGACGAAGAAATTTTCACCTTTATCTCGAGAAACATATTGTATTATTTTTTTATATATCCCTCTTTGCTCTAAAGTAATTGATGACACCAACTTTTCCTATTCTATAGCCAAAGTACGTTTGTCATAATTAAATTCATATTGTATGAGTCTATTTTGACCATTAGATAACAATGATATATATGATTGTGGCATGAAAGGAAAGTATTTTAAAGTTGTGTTGTTTCTATGTAGTAATTTCTTTATCTTGGCAAGAGCAAAATTTTGCAACTTCTCATCGGTCAATACCAAATTTGAATTAACACAATTATATTTAACATTAGAATAATACATTATTAAATTAGTAAATAAACTTTGAGTAAAGAAATTTAAATACCAAATTAAAATGTTTTCTATTTAATATTACCACTTTCATATAAAGCAAATATTTTATTGCATTTAGGCATGTGTTCGAAAATATGCGGGGAAAAACGCTGACAAAAGTGAATCCACCAAGATATATATAAGCTTAGACATGATTATCAAAACATATATCTCACTTATTTCACAATTATAGAAATGCTAGCTTAGATATTTGTAGAAGAAACTCAT